CTCTGTGTCAGACCTACACGCGGCATTACCTGGACTGGCACGACGGCTCTCTCTTCTTGAAAGTAAAGCGACCCGTGGTGCGGTCAATCATCTGCGGCTGCAGGCTTAGCAAAGGCTGATTTCTACCATTCCCCAGCTGGATGGGATTATTCGTGAGGACATTGTGCACGTCTTTGATGCAGCAGGTGATCTCCTCAAGGTGGCCGCGCGCTCTCAGCACCTGGCACAGTCGGATAATGTAGAAGGAGCCTCGGTGTGTGTCACGGTATGCCTTGAACCCGGGGGTGGTCGCCTGGCAGAAGAGGAAATCTGACAGCGGTGTGGTGCGGGATGCTGGCGCAGGCGTGGGGATGTATGACGACATAGGCACATCTTCTGGCCCGTCCGAACTCACCACAGGTAGCGCTTTGATACCTTGACAGGCCTGCGTCACCACAATCTTCAGCTTGCCGGCCAGAGCTCCGCACAGGTCGGCGCCGAAACAGCTGACCAGATCGTCCAGAAGTTGAGTCTTGCAGTCGGAGCTGTAGATGAAGTGCTCTCCTTCACGGCTCGTGCCTCCATGAGACAGAAAGCACGTCACCAGGTAGTCGAAGTTTTTCAGGTCGTTGGCGCATGACAACCTTTCCAGGCATGTCCTAATTTCAGTCTCTTTCAAGTTGTTGAATATCTTTGTCCGGCACCCGAACTCTTGAAATGTCTTTTCCAAGTTTTCCGCATCAATACTGGAGCCCAGACGCATTCCATGATTGTCCGTTCGTCCCAGGACGCATTCCTTGTCTTGGCATGCAAACCGCTCCTGATTGAAGATCACACACACTCCTTTGGAGTTGGCATATATCTTGGGAGGCAGCGCATCACCAATCGAGGACAAGTCCACCACTTTGCTGTGGTTGCCACTGCTAGGGGCGGTGCTTGTGATCGCTGACTCCGCAGTCTCCCTAGACAGCACATCTTTCAGATCGTGCCGACTGAGGTGCACTAGTCCCTCCGCCAGAACAGACAGGTCAGTAAGATCGATGACCCGTTCCTGCATCCAGTACAGGATGTACAGCTCCAACAGCTGCTTGATGGTGCAGCCGTCCGGAAAGATAGGCGACTGCCGGCCCGGAAGATATGAACGAGAAATGTATTCCACCAACCGTTTGACATCTTCCTGCAGAAGATGGCAGCAGACGGTATTCAAAGCAACCTGGAACACACTCGTGTCAAAACCGCTTGCCTGTCCTGAAAATTGGAGCAGCACATGACTTATTACGAATCGGATCACGTCTTCCGTCATCGGCCAGTAGCGACACATTGCGGTGATCGTAAATAAACATGTGACGATTGGAAAGGTATTCATACCTTAGTTTTGAGACAAGCGCCATGGTCGTCGGTCGCATGAATGGAGGGTGCAAATTGTAAGTAATGTGTTGGTCAGCATGGTAGCAGCATACCTTCAGTGATGAGAGATAGACTGGCTTTTGCAGTTTTCTCATCTGCTCTTTCTCCAGGCCAAGGGTTTCGAGCACGTCCAGACGGCCAATCACAGCCAGAGCCTCCAAAAACATGCACTTCCATACATTGCTAACCGAACTCCTGGCCCAATTTGAAAATGTGTCAACCATTGCCTTGCCACCAGTTTCGCGGTTCATCCTGACGACACATTTTTGCAACACGATGGCAGGCAGATCATCCACAGCCAAAAATAGGAGACGGACCACGTCTTCTGGTAGGAGATCTTTTTCAATGTCAGGCAGATCATCCACATCAATGGCATTGTGACACATGTCTTCTCTCGTCAATGTCGATTCAAAGGAAACGGCATCTGACGTGACTGGCGCAGATTCCGGCGCTGAGTCGACCAGCAGCCAACCGCCCTCTTCAGAGACAACGTCGGTGAGGTAGAACACCTCATCAACCTTAAAGTCAGCACCATCAGCCATCATCGGGCAAGACGCACCTGAAACAGAAACAAGTGAAAGTCCTAGCCACCAAAACCAATCCAGGAAGTATGTGGTAACTGATTGAGGGCTATCTGTTGTAATGGAGCAGGGCCGGGGTCATGAAGAACCTTCGCGTCCTGTTACAAAGGAAAGGGAATAAGCCGCATTGCTATGTAACATATTGGATTAACAAACCATTTCGTGGGTGCAAACGAAAATCACAACTTGTCCCCAACCTACTGAAAGAGCCCAAACCCGAATACCATGCCAATATTCCCACAATGCAGTCATACACGCATGCACCCACAACAGTAATCATGCACTGATGGTGGTGCAATATTCAGGCACTTGCGTCAAGACATCAATGCTCGTCCATGTCACCACAGTCCACGACTCTGGCTGGGGTTCACTGCCTGTTGTTCTTACCCTCGCTCAAAATCGCCTCAAGACAGAGTCAGATTGCGGTCAAACCAGTATCGAAACGCCCCGGGCTCCGCAATCGGGTGCGCAGGGCGGAATTTCTGATCGGGCCCCAAAGGCAGCGGATAAGCAGCCCACGAACTGTGGTTGCGGAGGCGGCCAAGGGTCAAACATCCTGGTAGCACAAAATCATACTTCAATCTTTCACACAAATGCCCAATTTTCGTAGCATTGCTCACAGGGCGCAGGGCTGACAGAGACCTGATGGCGCCTGGCCAGCACAGAGGTTTGCTGGCAGGCAAAAAATGGTGCGCTTAAAATGCAACCTCTTGAGTTGAATTGCTATGAACCCACCCTCGGAACTTTCCCTTTAAGGGAGCTCACGATGAAATGCGGTGTTATAACCGAAAACCTGCGCGGAAATTGCAAGAAAACCTCCAATTTGATATTCCCTCGGGTTATGCGAGTGTGGGATCACATTTATTTCACATTACAGTGTGAATCAGGCGCTTGAAGTGGGTGTGATCACTGGTGGAGCGGGCCAGTGGCTCGTATTGATCTTTATGTAATTGGCAGTGTGCGTGCGAGGTTCGTGCTTCTGGAATAGAACACTGTTTTCGCATTCTTTAAATCTAATAACGCCCAATAAAAAGTTATATATTGATACCTGCCTCTATCTTTAGGTTTGTGTTTGAACAGGAAAAGGTCGTGACGTCGGCAAACCGAAAGAAATACTAGCACCCATGCTGCTGGGGCGTTCAAAGGCAATTTGCCACTTCATTATTATCATGCCAGCATTTTGAACCCATTGAGGTATAACAGTATGTAATTAATCCGTTGAACACCATCACATTGGCAATTCACTTAGGCAGTAGGGACGGGTCAGCGCAGCTCATTAATGTGCATGCTTGGTATAAGTTCGCATGATACGGCCTTGCAAAATTGTCTTTCACTTAAGAATTCTGAAAATATAGTGTTGTATTAGTATAGATGCACATATGACTGTCTCAACAAATTTTGTACGCAGGCAAGCATTGCTTGTGAGTCATCACTGTCATAGTCAGTGCAGTCACTGCCACTTGTGTGAGAAGCTGGGTGCTGAGAAAGATGCATAAGTATTGCTGTTGGTTTCTTGGATAGCACTTAATATTTTTATCATGAGCCCTGTGTGCACCAGCAGCTTCATCACTTCCTTGCATATCGTACATCCAGCCATAACTACGTGCACTTGCCATGTCTCCAGCGTTGTGCAAGGTCAGCAGGTTTGCAGTGTCATTCCACCATATGTAATCTTTCCTTGCGATGCGTGTGTTATCACCAGTGTGAACAATATTTTTGAGTGAGGCAGTCTGATGGCCGAGCATGTTGCATGGCTGTGGAAGCAGAAGACGTGTTTGCATCTATGTCAAATATGTTTTGTGGATTCCAAAACAGGCTGAGCAAGTGACATCACTCATTGGCTGTGTGCTTTGCTGAAAGTGATTTGCATCTTGCATTACGTGTTTTTAGTCAGCCATATGTCAGATGCGGAGTTAATACACGAATGCATGCCTGACCCATCTTCACATGATTGAATCTATTATGACAGCAGCAGGGATTGCAGTACAAAAACAACATCATTGTGCATTATGCCACGCAAGAGTACAGCACCGAGGTAGTGCCATGATGTGCGCCGACGGAAATAGTGCACGCTGTCGCCCCGTGCCATTACATAATGTACCACATTGGTTGACCTTTCTACGTCAAGCCAAGGAGATAATGGCTTTTAATTTAAGAATGATATAACAACTGATTTAACAACGCCAAAAGACTACCACGCCTATGAGATAACAGCTTATAATTTATGAATGGCGTAACAACTAATTTAACAACGCCAAAGGGCTATCACCAGCGAGAATGCTGTTCCACCACAATGGTTATATCAGGCTTACCCAGCAATTGCATACATAATCTTGCACAATAAAAACATTCTGGTAGCTCAACAATACCATCTATACCATAGAAATTACAACGCTTTGGTAATCAATTCATAGCAATGCTATATAGTTATTAATTTTTGAATGCAACTACATTTCCAGTCACAAACAATGAAGAAAGTAACCACTGCGCACATCACATGATATCAACGTCAGGACTAGAGCACTGCAGGCGAGGGTAAGTCGACAATACAATATTGACATCCTTAGCAGTACTTGGCAGGTTTCGGTAAGAGATTTATGACGCCATGTGAGTCCTCAGAGCATATCGTGCTTTGGTATTAATAATTGCCATAAAAGCTGGCGATCGCTACGTTGCGTGTGTCAAACAGCCCACCAAGCTTCTGCTACGACCAGCACCAAGACAAAACATCCACAAACAAGCCATTCACCAACCTGCCACCCAACACAGCGCCCGCGACGGGAATGGCAGGTTGGCGTCAGCTTTCGTGAGTTTCGAGGCATTCTTTAGGTCTGGCTGCCAGATGCTGCCAGGTATTGCTGTCGTCACAAAACCATTCCATGACGCCATCAAACAATGACGCAATGGGACGCACTTTTAAAAAAAAACAATTTGGAAATTTTGCTACCTAGGGTCATTTTTGAACTTTGAAAGCTTACCAATAGTTACAAGTAAGCTTTACCCATAATATGTGATGCTCATCACAAAATCTTCAAATGTGAGACATGCCCTTAAGTAAATATGCCCCACAATGCGTCATGGTTTGATTACGTCATCGTACCTAGCACAACACTGATTGAGGGTTTAATTGACAGCCGTTATATCTGGAAATCGCTATCACGAACACCAGATGTGAACGCCTCGATAATCATATTTTCTTCGACTAGATCTAAGCGTGGTTTATAGAATGACAGGATTTAAATGACGTTATTGTGACATCATGAATGCCAACATGACTTTAAAATACTCTTCCCGATGTGCCTTTCCCCATTTTCGCCGGCGTGCAGCTCAAAAGCTAGACTGGGCTTAGGTCTTAAGACGGAGAGGATTGCGAACAGCACCGAAAGGTCTTAAGCTATTTTAGTTCAGAACTAGTTAACTATTTAAGTTCAAAATAAATGTGGAACGCTCCCCTTGAAGGGAATGTTACACATTTGAAAACATTGAAAGCAAGCATCAGATGTGATAAATAAGCTCACCTATAGCTATTGGTATACGTTTAAGCGGAATAGCCAGCGCTAGATAAAATTTCTCTAAGGAGTACATATTCTCCTCAATACGTCGCTTGGCATGACATTGTGGTGCTACCAAATAAGCTGTGCGAAATTGCCAACCTAGAGCCTTGTATTACTTCAAACTCGCCGAGAGATGGCGTTGGCTGTGCTGGGAGTGTTTGCGGAGTCAAATTTCGCTATTTGTTCATGTTTTGGAATTTCTCGTGGTGTTCTTGCATATTCATCGATCAGTTTAAGACGTTCACTTGTATTCACATGCTCGGTTATGGCGCTTTTCCCAAGTTTGTCGATTACAAGGCTGATTTCCATGCCGTTTAACATGCACGCCCAGTTTCTTATACTATGAAGGAACAACAGGAATTCGTGCGGCAGGTGGGGCCGCTGAGCACAAAATTGATACGCGCGGTGGATACTGTGCGCGCGACGACAAGGCTGAAATGACGTTGCCGTGATTAAACATTAAATTAAATTAAATCGTAAATAATTAAATTAATTAAATTAAATTAAATCGTCATCAAACACATCACGACAACGTCATTTCGGCCTTGTCGTCGCGCGTACTCATTGGTATTGGAAAGGATTGGGTTGTTCGTGGATGTGCAGCTCGGGAAATGGGCGGCTGCAGCTCTCGGGGAAAGGTGGACCGTCTCCGAGATAACTGTATCAGTTCAGCACCCAACACAAATGTGAAACGGTCTTAAGCCGCCAGTCGTGTTGATATAAAGACCACCAAAAACGTTTGAAGACGTGGCAGGAAAAATAAGACTCGTGTGCATTATTTCGCACCTCGGGGATCTTGGGGAAGGATAAATGACCTGTTCGTGACAAAACAGGGTACGTGGTATGAAGAGTCAAACTTGAAGTGTCAAAGTGCATACATAGCCTGTGGAACCAATGAGTTTAAAAATTCAAAAAATGGGGTTATATTGGCTATGACATGTAAATCACAAAATGCTACTCACAATACATTCAAAGTCACCACTCCCAACTCAGCATTTAACTATCTTAAAAGCATGAATGTAATCACAGCCAAAATATTCCACATCAACTTTGCTGTTTTGGTGCCATTTGATATGGCCAAAACACAACATAGTCAGATTTTCTGAAAAAGTCAATGGGTTCAAGACTCAGGACTACAATGGTGTCAAGTCAACTGATGGAGAGAAGCTGCCTACCACATAGGTAGCTGCTGACCTGTTGTTGTTATTGGGGCTTGACAATGCAGCCAGCTGCTGCAGCCATATGGCATTGCCTGCCTCTCACTCTGGCAGGAGGGGTGGGCACCATGGGGAGTCAAATCCTGTACCTCCAGTTTCCCAGATGTGCAGTGGTTAGCACAGACATGTGAACCACCACACTAGTGGCACCCCTGCTGACAAATTGTGAAATCCACACACAGCAATGAAAAATGCATGTTAGTTCAGTAGAGAGACAGAAGTAGACCAATACAAATCAAAGGAGTTCATACACATGAAAACATGATTAAGAATAAAACAATGCCACATGAGCACATTACAAAAAGGTTAGACCACTTTACAACATCCAATGTGCAAACTGAGGCAGAGATCTGACAAAATGGTTCATAAGTGTGTTCCACATCTGTACAGGGCTTTGAACTGAAATGCAAATTGAAGGTCTTGAAGCTCATTTTGTGAAGTTTGCAGTCCCCTGGCATAGATGCTCAGACTATTGTACAGAATATTCCATGGTTACCCAGGTATCCATGACACCAATATATCACTAATATTGTGCCATTCCACTGGGCATGTAAAATGTATAATCAAGATAAATAGATTGTTGAGCTGTTTATATCTAGCATTCATGGGCATGATGACCAAATATAACTGGGCCCCACTTCCAGATATAAGGGCAGGTTGTTGGTTTTTGACTTATGTCCTGCAAGCTATGCAATGTTTGAACACAAACTTTGTGCTGTACCACACAATACAAGATGGTACAATGTTTCCTAGTTATGATGGAAATAAAACTTGCAATTGAACAACTCTAGAGCAACACTATAACCAAGTATGTGAATACAAGTAAGCACCATAAACTCATGGACAAATAAGCAAGAACACAAAGAGAAAAAGGGCCACAATACACACTTTGCACCATCAGGTTCAGCTGAGATCTAGCGCAGCCATCAGTATAGTGCAAGTGAGTGCTACCATGTTAACATTCCATGACACCATTATACAATTACATATTGATGAACATAATTGCTCAATGGAGAGATTTTTGTTCTCTAGAGCAGTGTTTTCCAGTTAAATAAATACCAATACTTATGAGCTTATTTAATCATATATGATACCTGTTTCAATATCAATATCAATCAATATGAATTGAGTGTAATTCACAGAAAAAATGTGATCATAAATCTTAGTAGGCATCACTTATGATTACTGTTGTCACTGCTTGTGCCGTATGCTGAACTGCTTGTCAAATAGCCAACAGAGCCACAAATGTACAATGGATGTATTCAATGCCATTGGGGGGGGGGGGGGGGGAGAACCATGGGATAACTCTTGCCTGGGCTACCCTGTTTTCCAACAAGTTCCTTCCTATTGCAGTCCAATGCTCCTTATACAAATCCAGGTGCAATCATGTGAAAACCTTCTCAAACATTTGCAGCCTAGCCTGGTATATGAAGGAGTTAGCATGACAAAAGCATTACATACCTACAGAATAATATTTGGTATAAAATGAACATGATGCTCCTAGTAATGTATGTAAGAACCTAGCATGCAAATAATTAACATTTAAAAAAATGCAATTGATCCAGTATCCTTTCTTTTCCCATATGTGTTAGGGAGGCTCAAGAGTATTATTGGGGGAATCTGAAGTCAGGATTGGGTTGGGGGAACCCAGGCCCCCATGAGTACAGAGAGTGATGCCCCTACCACTGCCCCCATGAAATTTTGTAAAAACCAACCGCAGTTGGCATTGATGTTGTGTGGACAAATAACAGATAACAGAGTTGCGTTGCCTTGCCATCTTCATACGAATGACGCCTAGACAAGACATCAATCACACCCTTTCACAGCTAATCCAACAAATTTGACCAATGAACTGGACAGTCTTAGTATGACAATTTAGGTAGAAGCCAGAAGCTGATGCAACATTCAAGCGATAAATCACGAGCAACGTTGCAGGAAACTTAGCATATTCAAGGCGCACCTTTCCTCCCAATGAGACTTCTCACCTTGGACCACAGCCGGGACAGGAACATGAACAGGAATACAACACGGGCGCGCGTCCACTCACAACCCTTCTGTCTCACGCCAACAGTATGCGCACGAGGCTTAAACGCAACCTACGCGATGCCCCCACCCCCTGCCGTCGCCCTTCTGTTCTAGGGCCTCGGTCGCCCTTACCACCGCCTCCCGCCTCGCGACTGGGGCGCGTCGCTCCTCCGCCGCACGGGATTACCCGCAATGTACTCTGGCCCGTGTTGTGGTGCGCATTGTAATGTAACTGAAGTTAGCCCACATTCAGCCCAGATTCAGCCCAACCCGAATTTGGCAGCACAAAAGTAGATAATTCCCTTTGCAGGCCAATAACTCCCTTCAGGCGCCGACATCCCGCACCGACAAACCAGACCCTGAGAAACCTCTTTGGTCTAACCAAAACGGTGCATAGAAAATCTGCCTATTTTGTCTAGGGGGAAAGCCACGTACATGACCAAAGAAGACATGCTTATGGGGCGGTCCTACGGTTTTTTTTTCAAAAGTGCCTTACCGAAGTATATACCGGTGCTCATCAACTTGGCTGGAGGAACCCTACCGGACATTGATATCTAAGTGTTCATAGCCCGTTAAAAAAAATTAATAACGAGATTTTTATTTGGTCGCTGAAAAATATATGCCCGGTCGCACATGGTGTGAGAGCATTCGTCGCCCAGCTACATAAGTACAAACATAAATTGCATATCTTGTCTCGTGGAAAGGTTATACACGATCGAAAAAGCATGTCTTAGGTCTCCTGCTACCATTTTAACTTTCGAGTAACAAACATCTTACCTATCATGAATGTAATTGGTCCCTGGGGTTAATGCCGTAATGTGGCAATGTAACCTAAAAAAACTGGCCTCCCTGGTGTAGACTAGTATTTTAAATTGTTAGAGAACTGCTGATGCATAGGCTGGTGCTGTTTCTTGAGATCCCGTGAATAATTTACACCGAGGTAGTAAAAATTGATAATATATGGTTGATTTTTCGATTAAGGAACAATACAATCCGTACAGAATGGCTTCTGTATTCCTCGATGTCCCGCACGTGACTGCCAGACGCATGTGGCCGCCTTTGGGTGTCTTAGCGTCTCGGATCGCAAGCTGGCTTATTCTGCGCTGGCCTCATGCAAGACCGGCGTTAACTATCCTGACCCCCGGCGCCATGATCTGAGGTGGACGATATCACAGAGCGTTATGTCACGATACCACATCCCCGTGCCGGCCAAGCCAAGTTATGCCCACGTACGGCTGCCTCACACTCGCTATGCATACACACGTTTCACACCGGCCCACTTCCCCCGGGCCGAGGACATGAGACGGGAGACGGAGGTGTCGGCTCGGACGAACGTCACGGGCGTCACGCAAGAAGGCATAGGCGGCGAACAATACGGACGCACACATGAGGTCGGTGAACACACGCGATGCGTAAAACGGGAGACTGGGGTCGAGCTGGAGACGGGTGGTGCGGTCGAGAAGGTACGAGCGCCTCTCGCTGTGGCGGAGGGCTGGGAACGCGGCGGCGAGGCGGGGATTGGGAATGATTATCTGTCAGCTCATCTGCAAACTCGGCCCGGCGTGACGGCCGCGGAAGAGCGGGGTGAGGGGTTGACGTGGACGGCCGCCGCGGCTGCGCGGTCGGTATGGCGCACACAGACATCAACGTAGGGAACGAGCGCAGGGAGCGGCGGTTGCGCCGATGGGTGCGGCCAATGGTGAGCTCCGCGAGAAGGTCACGCGAGTGACCTACACCCACGACCGTGCTTCGTCGGTGCGTTAACCCAGCCGACGGATCCTGAAGGGACACATGAGCCCCAGCACGCGGACGGGACGGGCCGACCGTTCGATCACAGCGGACACGGGCGGCCTCGCGCTGTGAGGCGACGCTGGCATCACAGCCATCGGCGACACGCTGCCATTCAGGTGCGAATGTACCCTGCTGGGAACCGCCGAGCGTAAAAGATGGCCATGCAGAACATCGGCTGGTGGCCGGTGGTCGGCCCGCGGCGCGCTGTGGATCTCGAGCAATCCGCGGGCGAGCGCGTCACAGTCCAGGTCATCCAACGCAGTCACTCCACAGAGGCTCCACTAGCCTCTTGATCAATTCGACGGCTACCTCGGCGTGGCTGTTCGACGGGGGTACGAGGGGCGAGCAAGCGACGCGTAATACCAAAACGTTGCAGGAAGTCTCTGGCGTGTTGGACAGTGTGTTGCGGTCCGCCATCGCTCCAGAGCACGCAGGGGATGCGTGACGCTGTGGACACTGTCGCAGATGGCGGACCAGAGTCAGGGCGGTGGCATCACGTCTGCAGTGTACGACAGCGTGCCGCTCGGATAGTCGGTCGACGCGCACCCGTCTGGCCTGCATGGCTGAAGAGGTCCGTGGAGACGGATTCGGGAGGCTGTGAGGGATGTTCAGACGGGTGCCGCACACCAAGATGCCTTCGCCAACAGTGAGGTGATGGCGCTCGCCCCAGTACGGCCCCAGCACGACCCCATGTCCAGACGGGTGCCGCACACCAGGATGCCGTCGTCAACAGTGAGGTGATGGCGCTCGCCCCAGTACGGCCCCAGCACGACCCCATGTCCAGACGGGTGCCGCACACCAGGATGCCGTCGTCAACAGTGAGGTGATCGCGTTCGCCCCAGTGCGGACCCCGCACGGCACCAGCATGGCCACAGTAAGGCAAGCAGATCTGACCGGCGATCGGGGAAGCCGCTCAGCACGGTCTCGCACAGGGTCGTGTACTTGGCGTCGGCACGTGCGGCCTCGCGGACGCGAGTCAGAGTGATGTATGATGGGAGACACTCGGGATCCATCTGGACCCAGCTGGGTCACTGCGCTTGACGAAACTATGATGCTGATGGGTAACGTCTTCTTGGACGATCTCGTCGTCCGGAGAGAGGGGATTCAGTCACTCAGGGGGCTCTGGAGGGCGTCTAGGATCCGGCGTTTGCCTTTGCTGTGTGTTTGTTTGCTGGAGAACGTGCCGGAGAGAACGTGCCGGAGACAAGATAGGCAATTGTTTGAACGATAAGCCTGAATAAGATAGGTAATTTGTACTTCCGCTTCTGAATTTGGGTTGACAAATATTTTCACATGATATGTATCTCGACTTATATTTGTTGGTAAGGAAGTGAACAATGTCATTGTCTTTTTGTTCTTAAGGATTTTGGCCCGTCAGATATTAATGACCTATTGGGTTTCTTCAGCCAGATTGATGAGCATCGGTCTATGGTTCGATGAGACAATTTTGAAGAAAACCGCAGGGGCCGCCCCATAAACACGCTTTCTTCGATCGTGTTTGACTTACCCTAGAAAAATAGGAAGATTCCCTGTACACCGTTTTCGTTGGATTAAAGAGGGCCCTCACGTATTAGTACGCCTGTGCATGACTTCAGCGTCTGTATGGGGACATTGGCCGGTAAAGGGAACTCTACATTTGTGCTGCATAATGGGCTGGGCTGAATGTGGGCTGAATGTGGGCAAACCTCCGCTATACGGGAAACATGGATGTCCGTGAAGTTGGTGATTTATTTCGTGCTTTATTCAAGAAAGCATGCATATCGATTCATGAGTAGATTTACTAAAAGCGGCCCTCCTGTGTAAATCACGTGAGATCCCACTCGATAACTCCACATAGCCCAAAAATCCCTGATGCAGAAAGCCCTCTGACCCGGGAAGTTGACCCTGATCGACACAGGGGCTCTCATCGACGCTTTAACACGCGCCCGGGTGGCCGGCTAGATACCCTTCGTTCGGGTGGGGGAGGGATCAATTTGACCCTTCTGAGACCTCGCCAACTAAGAAAGCTAGAGACACCAAGTTTGCAGAGTGTGTTGACCTGTGCGTAAATTCACTTAGGTCAAAGTTTCAGGTTCCTAGGTCATGGTCTTTGGGTCAAAAAAGGTCAGACAAGGTCAAGTTTCAGGTCGGTCTCCAAAATGCCCCCCAGAACCAAGATAACCGTTTCTAAGCAAAAGATCACATGCTCATTGAAGGTCAGTGACCTTGTTTAACGTTTTGAAGGTCAAGGTGACCAAAATCATACAAGGTTGTTTTGAGTTTTGCATTTGACTAAGCCACAAAGATTACGCTAGGTGGTATATTCCTAAACAAAATGCTGACCTGGGTCATTTCAGGTCAATGGCCTATCCTGACCTCTAAGAAGCCCATGGAAGATGTATAATGCGGTTTCTGCCATCAAAAATGTTCGAAAGAAGCCCCAGAAATTATTCCATACAGCAAGCCCAAGAGTAACAGAATAGGTTGGTTTTGACATTGGTATGACCTTCATACCTGACCTTAGGTCAGTGTTATTTGCTCATTTAACTGTTGTGTTGCCTAAGAAAGCATCTCACAGATGTGTGGCTTCGTCTAACACTCCGTTGTTGGATCAGATTGAAGGATTCCCTAGAAATTGCCTTCGCCGAAACCATGGCGTAGTTAAAAACACGCAGCACGCAGAAAAAAACGGAAAAAGTCAAGTAAACATGGCATAACCGCAGAGCTTTAAAAGTGTAACTAAGTCAGTCAGGTGTACTGATCTGGTCATAATGCTGCAATTTTCATTTTCTTTAATCCGTCTGCCTGTGAAACAATGAGTAAAACCTTTCTTAAATTTGATATAATTTCGAACGTCTATTTGTCATGTCATTTATGTACTTGGGCTCTAGAAAGTTGGGGGACCGGACTCGTCGTTGTGGTGGCCAGACTGGAAATTGGGGGGAGGGGGGGGGGGGGGCAGTGGCCTATCCAAAAGAACAAAAATCGACACCCGTGCATGGCGGGCACGGTCAAGTGTCTTTCAAAACAGTGACTTATTCAACGTTGAACAAACACGATTTCGCCTTTTATCACTGTTTTTTTAGATGGCACGCATTTTATTTTGACACGAAGGCCCGCTTACGTAAACAAATCTTACGTGAAGATTTGAATAGAGCTCTGTATAACAAATACAGTACGAGGCAAGGTGACACGAAGAATCGCACGTGCGAAGAAATATGCAAAGAACGACGCTTGCGGAGAAATGTGATACGAACTTTCGTACGCCTGCATTTCGAAGAAATACGATGCCAAGAAATGCGATACGAGTAAATGCGGTGCGAAGAAACATGACGCGGTGATCAGCGGATTAAGTTTAATCTACGAAGGCATACGTTATAACTAACTAAATTAACGTCCGTCAAGTTGGCACCACAGCAGAAACGCTACCTAGCAAAACGCCATAAGACGTTCTGCTAGGTAGCGTTTCATATTGTTACGAAAGCACGACAGCTTTGCGACCGTGTCATACTTCCTTGGCGCGCCTTCTGCATGATGGTCCTTATTTGGAAGCGATTGGCCATGATCAATTATGGCGCAAATGTTACGAATGTGAGCTGTGAGAAAACGTTCAGCGAGCAGCGTAATTTCTGGGGTGCATCAGGCCGAGCAAGGCACGGGCGTAGGACATCTATTGCCATATGAGCTGCAGGCACAATACCTATGCGAGCAAGAGAAATATGGGAAATGGACGCAGAGCCACGTGTACCATTGTGTGCCTTGAATGTAGGCTTATCAGAAATTTAGGGTCACATTATGAGTCGAGAGTGCTGAATAGCGTAGAGGTAATGAACGTACACTCTAACATGCCAGAAAAACAGGTTTCTTCCGTAATTGTCCCACAATTTCCAAAGTCGTAGGGGACCAGATCCGGGTTGGGCTGTAGCCCCCTCCATCTGAATAGAAAACTATGTCTCTGATGTCAGTGACCGACCCGCCAAGTGCAAGGAAGTGTATGGTGGGCTTGTTGTTACAATTGCTTACGTATGTTGCTCTTTTTGGCATGGTAACTTTTGCTGACCATCTCAAATACTAACTGGGCACAGTAACAGGAGTTATAGTCAGCAGAGTATATGCCAAGTAAGATATATGCATGAAGATGCTAGGTACTATGCAGGTGCTAGGCAGGTTATGCTTTCGCCATGAAATAGCAAAATAACAGCCTAAGGTAATACCTATTAATAATTGTGGAAAAGTGGAGCAATTTTCAGTGCAATGACCTATCTGATGATAATGATTTGAGGTTGTAGGGTGCCAACTGCATATTGTTATGCAGTGTGGATAAATAATCTTGCTGAAACAAGGGAACATTCAGTTGTTGAACTGCTTCTTGAACATTGCACCACTATGCACAGTTACCATGCTCAAAAAGATAGTTCTATTTGTAACACAACTTTCATCAGCTAAAATGAACACTTATTTTATTGTCATCCAAATTTTGATAGGAAGTCAAACTAGGAACACTCATGCATGTGGGTTTGGCTCACTTGTGTCCAATCTTCTGCCTTTTAATGTTTGTTGATGCATACTGTTGTTGCAGCTGTTTTCAGAGTTTTTTTTTGCCCCCCCCCCACTAGTGTTTGTTTTGGCTGGCAGCATTGGTAGGCATCCCCAATACTGTTGCTGTTTTGCATATATATATATATATATATATATATATATATATATATATATATATATATCTGGATACCTCAGTTCAGAGCACCTGCCTTACAATCCACCTACCTGTGGCTGGTTGGATTCAGTTTCTTTTGGCAGGCCAGGGCTCACACAACAAACAGTGCTTAGTGTGACCTCTGACCTGCACTCATACACTTATTCAAAAGGTTCAGAGTAAATTTATATATGTATATATACAAAGGCATGTATATAAATGTCTATTTAACCACAATTTGTGTAGATTCTAACTGCTGCACAAAGTGTACTCCTTTGGGCATCATTTTATTACCATTGCTACTATGATGCCAAAAGACCAGACCATTTGATATATTATAAAATATAAACATGGTAATCACCTTTTATCAAAGTAACATGAGTTAAATCCATGGAGGAACATATTCAGGGATATCATGTTCAGGGCCCTTCAGACCTCCAACTTATCCCACTCTGCCCCTCTCCCCAGTCTTAAACATGATATGATATCCAGGATATTTTTAGTCCTATGGTGCTTGATATGCTTGGGTTGTCCTGCCAGAGTGATGCAAACATTGCCTAGCTTGCTGATATTCAAAGCTCAAAGATTAACTTGAATAAACAAGTGTAGCATGTTCACTGCCACTTTTTCTTCTTGAGGAAACAGTGAAACATGAAAAGTGTCAGCTGAAAGGCAGAGGCACCATTTTGTCCATCATTTTAGTGCAGAAAGGGGTGTGTTGGGGTGTGCCTAAAAGCAACTGCATATGCACATTTTTCTTGCTCTACCCAAGATTTGACATCTGCTCAAGTCTAGTTCAAAGTCACCCTTAAAAGCCTATGTGGGATCTTTGCTGTTCTTATCTTTGATATGTGATGCATATCCAACATAGAACTTGCCTTATGTGTCCCTTTTTTCCAGCTGATGCAGACTAGGGCCACTGGACCAGTTGAACATTAAGTAGAAGCAGACTGTTGTTGACTCTATCAAGCATGGCAGAAACCAGTCATTCTGATATGGATACATCAGTATCTTCTGTGTCTGTGACTGAATCTGAGGACAAATGTGGCACAAATGAAAAAGTTGATGAATCTGAAGACAAATGTGCCACAGATGGAAAAGCTGGTGAATCCTTAATGTGTCACAGTGATCCATTCAAAATGCCGGACATTCTGCCAAGAAGTGCAAATCAGATAATGTCACCATCGTCATTGTCTTCTGAATCATTTGCAAATCCCGACAGTTCTTTCAAAGTCCCAAAGTTCCCGCCACGGAGCTTAGGCAAGAGCGAATCGCCTTCGACAGCGCGTTCCAACTCCGCGGGCGGGCCTGTTGCTGGGTCGGAACAGGGTGTGGAGGGGACGGGCGGGCCCACGGCGGCGCGCCCGGCCCCCCAGCCGGCCGAGCCAGCGCGGCCGGCCGGCAGCACGCCCTACAAGCCGCCCGCCTGGGCCGGCAGTCCGCCACACGCCTACAGTCTGGAGGTGGTGCGCGGCGGCCAGCTGGTGGACACGGTCGAGCTGCAGCACCGAGCGAGTCTCGTGTTCGGCCGTCTGCCGGACTGTGACGTGCGGCTGGAGCACCCCTCCATCTCGCGGCACCACGCCGTGCTGGTGTACAGGTGGGTCACCATCGCCGAGCAGCACCGAGCGAGTCTCGTGTTCGGCCGTCTGCCGGACTGTGGCGTGCGGCCGGAGCACCCCTCCATCTCGCGGCACCACGCCGTGCTGGTGTACAGGTGGGTCACCATCTCCGGGTAGCACCGAGCGAGTCTCGTGTTCGGCCGTCTGCCGGACTGTGACGTGCGGCCGGAGCACCCCTCCATCTCGCGGCACCACGCCGTGCTGGTGTACAGGTGGGTCACCATCGCCGAGCAGCACCGAGCGAGTCTCGTGTTCGGCCGTCTGCCGGGCTGTGACGTGCGGCTGGAGCACCCCTCCATCTCGCGGCACCACGCCGTGCTGGTGTACAGGTGGGTCACCATCGCCGAGCAGCACCGAGCGAGTCTCGTGTTCGGCCGTCTGCCGGACTATGACGTGCGGCTGGAGCACCCCTTCATCTCGCGGCACCACGCCGTGCTGGTGTACAGGTGGGTCACCATCGCCGAGCAGCACCGAGCGAGTCTCGTGTTCGGCCGTCTGCCGGGCTGTGACGTGCGGCCGGAGCGGTGGGTGGGTCAGGTGGGTCATCATCGCCAGCCGGACGTCGGCGGCGCCACACCACCCTCCATTTTCCTGGCGATAACATCAGGCCGCCATGGTTCCCCTCGCACTGAGAGATCGGGTCATGTTGCAGCTGCCCAGCAGTGAAACAATCTGACCCGGGCTGACGTTATTCGTATTTCACCTCTCTGCCGTTTCAGATTGCAGAGCGGAGACTCGCGCGAGGCCGGGTTTTACCTGTATGACCTAGGAAGCACCCATGGCACCACTCTTAACAAGACGCCCGTGCAGCCGAAAGTCTACTGCCGAATGCGCGTGGGCCATATGTGCAAATTCGGGGGCAGTTCCAGGCTGTTCATTTTGCAGGTCAGTGCCCACAATACCCCAAATGAGTCGTGACACTAGTTTCGACCTGGCCATGCACTGCTGGGGCATGCATGATCAGGTGTTGTCAGTGTCTTCTAGTGCCGTCCTGAGATGCGCTGCTGGCGTGTGCGTAGTCAGGTGTTGTCAGTGTCTTCTAGTGCCGTCCTGAGATGCGCTGCTGGCGTGTGCGTGGTCAGGTGTCGTCAGTGTCGTCTGGCGAGCGCTCGCCCAGCGCGCTGAAGGCCAGCGTCTGCCTTCCAGGGCCCGGAGGAGGACCGGGAGGCCGAGTCTGAGCTGACCGTCACCGAGCTGATGGAGATCGGCCGGCGTCGTCAGGAGCAGATGGCTCGGCTGGAGGAGGCCGCCGCGCCCGATCAGGCGCCGCCGCCCGCCGCCCGCCTGCGGCCGGAGCTGGCCGACGCCGAGACTGCCGACGACCAGGGCGTCTCGTGGGGCATGGGTCAGTTGGTCGGTGGGCTGGCCGGAGCCTCGCAGCGCCGGCGCGCTCCGCATGCTGGCTGGGCTGGGCGCCGCAGGGCCACGCGCGCTGCTGTGGACAAGCTACGGCCGTCCGCGCCGCTTCTGCGGCGGAGCGGTCTATTTGCGGACCTCGAGCTTGGTGTTTCAATCGCCGCGGATCATTATCTTGCGTTGGAGTGTGGGGATGTTTCAGCGGTATGGGGTGCGACGTTAGATGTGTAAAAGTCCTGAAGCGTTTGCTAGAGTGACTGGTCTGGTGACGGCGGGGTGGTAGGACGGCTGAGTGGAGCCATGCCTTCCTCGCCCCGCTGGGGGACCCCCGGACCGTCCACCTCCAGCACGCCATCGCTATCTGAATCGATGACCGCTGCTGGGCGTGGTCAGTCGGCGTCGGTCCAGTTGTCCGTCGTCGGCTGGTGGCCATCGGCGTCAGCCTCTGTGATCCTAATGTGTGATGGTTGTGATCGGTGCTGATAACTTGTATCGATGTTCGTTGGCCGGCATTTGGTAATTATTACGCGCATCAGCGGTCTGCGCGGACTATCCGATAGTCGGCATGGGTGACGGACCTTGCTAACCGTCTGTCGTCAATGGGCAGGCGAGGACGCGGACGAAGCGAATGACCTGCAGTTCAACCCGTTCGCGCTTGGCGAGGCCGAAAACGAGCAGCTGTACCTGGTGGACCCGAAGCGTACGCTGCGCGGCTGGTTCGAGCGCGAGGGCTACGAGCTGGAGTACCAGACGGAGGAGCAGGCCGGCCAGCGCCACGTCTGTCGTATCACGTGAGTACTCG